GCCGGTCTTGTCTGTGCCTTGTCTCCCTTCAGTTGTCTCCCTTCATGTGTCTCCCTGAGTGGTGGTGTCCGCCTCTCCGGTCTTGTCTGTGCCTTGTCTCCCTTCATTTGTCTCCCTTCATGTGTCTCCCTGAGTGGTGGTGTCCGCCTCGCCGGTCTTGTCTGTGCCTTGTCTCCCTTCATTTTTCTCCCTTCATGTGTCTCCCTGAGTGGTGGGCGCCTCGCCGTCTGTCTTGTGGTCTTGGTCTTGTCTGTGCCTTGTCTCCCTTCATTTGTCTCCCTTCATGTGTCTCCCTGAGTGGTGGTGTCCGCCTCTCCGGTCTTGTCTGTGCCTTGTCTCTCTTGATTTGTCTCCCTTCATGTGTTTCCCTGAGTGGTGGTGTCCGCCTCGCCGGTCTTGTCTGTGCCTTGTCTCCCTCAATTTGTCTCCCTTCATGTGTCTCCCTGAGTGGTGGTGTCCGCCTCGCCCTTGTCTGTGCCTTGTCTCCCTTCATTTGTCTCCCTTCATGTGTCTCCCTGAGTGGTGGTGTCCGCCTCGCCGGTCTTGTCTGTGCCTTGTCTCCCTTCATTTGTCTCCCTTCATGTGTCTCCCTGAGTGGTGGTGTCCGCCTCTCCGGTCTTGTCTGTGCCTTGTCTCCTCTCCGGTCTTTTCTGTGCCTTGTCTCCTTTCATTTGTCTCCCTGCATTTGTCTCCCTTCATGTGTCTCCCGGAGTGGTGCTCGCCGGTCTTGTCTGTACCTTGTCTCCCTTCAGTTGTCTCCCTTCATGTGTCTCCCTGAGTTGTGGTGTCCGCCTCTCCGGTCTTGTCTGTGCCTAGTTTCCCTTCATTTGTCTCCCTTCATGTGTCCCCCTGAGTGGTGGTGTCCGCCTCGCCGGTCTTGTCTGTGCCTTGTCTCCCTTCATGTGTCTCCCTGAGCGGTGGTGTCCGCCTCGCCGGTCTTGTCTGTGCTCCCTTCATTTGTCTCCCTTCGCGTGTCTCCCTGAGTGGTGGTGTCCGCCTCTCCGGTCTTGTCTGTGCCTTGTCTACCTTCATTTGTCTCCCTTCATGTATCTCCCTGAGTTGTGGTGTCCGCCTCTCCGGTCTTGTCTGTGCCTTGTCTCCCTTCATTTGTCTCCCTTCATGTGTCTCCCTGCGTGGTGATGTCCGCCTCTCCGGTCTTGTCTGTGCCTTGTCTCCCTTCATTTGTCTCCCTTCATGTGTCTCCCTGAGTGGTGGTGTCCGCCTCTCCGGTCTTGTCTGTGCCTTGTCTCCCTTCATTTGTCTCCCTTCATGTGTCTCCCTGAGTGGTGGTGTCCGCCTCGCCGGTCTTGTCTGTGCCTTGTCTCCCTTCATTTGTCTCCCTTCATGTGTCTCCCTGAGTGGTGGTTCCGCCTCGCCGGTCTTGTCTGTGCCTCGTCTCCCTTCATTTGTCTCCCTGCGTGGTGGTGTCCGCCTCGCCGGTCTTGTCTGTGCCTTGTCTCCCTTCATTTGTCTCCCTTCATGTGTCTCCCTGAGTGGTGGTGTCCGCCTCTCCGGTCTTGTCTGTGCCTTGTCTCCCTTCATTTGTCTTCCTTCATGTGTCTCCCTGAGTGGTGGTGTCTGCCTCTCCGGTCTCGTCTGTGCCTTGTCTCCCTTCATTTGTCTCCCTTCATGTGTCTCCCTGAGTTGTGGTGTCCGCCTCTCCGGTCTTGTCTGTTCCTTGTCTCCCTTCATGTGTCTCCCTGAGCGGTGGTGTCCGCCTCGCCGGTCTTGTCTGTGCCTTGTCTCCCTCCAATCCTTTTTTCTCCCTTCATGTGTCTCCCTGAGTGGTGATGTGCGCCTCTCCGGTCTTGTCTGTGCCTTGTCTCCCTTCATTTGTCTCCTTTCATGTGTCTCCCTGAGTGGTGGTGTCCGCCTCTCCGGTCTTGTCTGTGCCTTGTCTCCCTTCATTTGTCTCCCTTCATGTGTCTCCCTGAGTGGTGGTGTCCGCCTCTCTGGTCTTGTCTGTGCCTTGTCTCCTTTCATTTGTCTCCCTTCATGTGTCTCCCTGAGTGGTGGTGTCCGCCTCGCCGGTCTTGTCTGTGCCTTGTCTCCCTTCATTCCCCAAGCAGTGAACTGTTAGGGGTTCTTAATGCTTTCTTAAGGTGTCCGCCTTGGTGTTGGATGGTGTGTCCGCCTTCCCGAGGGTCTTGTCTCCCCTTGTCTCCCCTTGTTCCCTCGTACACCTTCTCGTTTCCGTTTGTTGGATGGTGTGTCCGCCTTCTCGGAGGTCTTGTCTCCCCTTGTCTCCCTTTCCCTTCTTGTTTCCCTTTGTTGGATGGTGTGTCCGCCTTCCCAAGGGTCTTGTCTCCCCTTGTCTCCCCATTGCCTCCCTTCTTGCTTCCCTTTGTTGGATGTTGCGTCCGCCTTCCCGAGGGTCTTGTCTCCCCTTGTGGCCTCTTGTCTCCCTTGTGTCCCTTTGTCTCCCCTTGTGTCCCCTTGTGTCACCTATCTCCCCGTTGGATGGTGTGCCCGCTTTCCCCAGAGTCTTGTCTCCCCTTGTCTCCCTTCTTGTTTCCCTTCTTGTTTCCCTTCTTGTTTCCCTTTGTTGGATGGTGTCAGCTTCCTGGGGGTCTTGTCTCCCCTTTTCTCCCCTTGACTCCCCTTTTAACTCTTCTTGTTTTCCTTTGTTGGATGGTGTGTCCGCCTTCCCGAGGGGACAAGTTGACTCCCCTTGTCTCGCCTTGTCTCCCTTCTTGGTCGCCAAGCGGTGTACTGTTGGGGGCTCTTAATGCTTTCTTAAGGTGGCCGCCTTGGTGTTGAATGGTGTGTCCGCCTTCGCAAGGTCTTGTCTCCCCTTGTCGTCTTCCATCCTTCCCTTGCTTCAACGGTGTGCCCGCCTTTTCAAGGTCTTGTCTCCCCTGGTCCCCCATTGCTCCCCATTCTCTCCCATTGTCTCGCCGCATGTGTGCACCTGTGTTGGATGCTGTGTCCGCCTTCCCGACGTCTTGTTTCCGAATTGTCTCCCATTGTCCCCACATGTGTGCCTGTGTTGGATGGTGTGTCCGCCTTCCCGAAGTCTTGTCTCCCTTTGTCTCCCTTCTTGTCTATCCTTGTCTCCGGTTGTCTCCGCGTGTTTCCCATTGTCTCCCATTGTCTCCCGTTGCCTCCAATTGTTTCCCATTGTCTCCCCACATGTGCCGGTGTTGGATGGTCCACCTTCCCGAAGTCTTGGTTTTCATTACCTCCCATTGTCTCCCTAGATATGTGTGACCTGTGTTGCATGGTGCGTCCACTTTCCCGAGGTCTTGTCTCCCCCTTGTCTCCCATTGTCTCCCTTCTTGTTTCCCTGTCTGTGTTGGATGGTGTGTCCACCTTCCCGATGTTTTGTCTCCTTTGTCTCCTTTGTCTCCCAGCTTGTCTTCCTTCTTGTCTTTCTCTGTTTTCCTTTGTTGGTGGTGGTCTGATTTTGCCATTTTTCAACAGGATTGTTGGGTAGCTTTTTCGTTAAGGGTCCGGGCTTTCCGGTTTGGATGGTGTCCGCCTTCCGAGCGTCTTGTCTCCTTTATTGTCTCCCACGTTTGTCCCTTCTTGTTTCCCAGATGTAGCGAGGTGGTCTCATTTTGCATTTTTCCCAAACAGTGTACGGTTAGGGTTCTTAATGCTTTCTCATGTCATGTGTTTGACCCTGTTCAAACACCGTCTTGAATCCACCCACTTCTTGGGGTCTACGGTGGTGAATTTTCTCCCTCTACTCAAGCCTGGAAAAATGCCGTGCACTAGCTGAGGCTTACTTCGTTGAACTTCCGTGATTTATTCGTGGTAGAGAAGCAGAAAACGCTCAAGTGGTTTTCAAAGGCTTACAAAAGTGGTTTGAAAAGGCTTACAAAGTGGTTTTCAAAGTTCATCAAAGTTCTTTACTCTGCTTTGAAGACTTCTTTGGAAGGTGAAGTCGCTGCGTGGCTTGGTGCCCTAAGAAGCCTGCGTTTGGCAATGACATCCGGCAGCTCACGTTTTTGTCAGTGCCTGGCAGACATTTTGCCGGCCGTGGGCCCAGACCAACTTGGTACCTTTTCCATGCTTCAACCTGGTTTTGAAGGCACCATTGATTGTTTCCAGCTAGAGTGAGGTAGGTCGGTCATGAGGGGAAAGCAACTCCGACTGCGCTCCTGAGGCCATGACACAGATGCTCGGTTTGATATGCGTCGTCCAATATACCTTTGCAGCGACTGCGTTGGAGATCTTGGGCCGGCAAAATGCACCAGGATTTGCCTGTCCCTCAGGTCTTAAGGTGAGAATGAGACGAAGAACGGCAAAGAAGAAATGCTGATGGCATTTGTGGACAATGGATGAACATAAATGATCATAAATGGTCCATGGATGTCCATGGTATAGGTCCTATAGGTGATGGTTTTCAGTCATTGAAACTGCGTTGTGGGCCATGTCCAGCTTGCTGAGGTCACCTTTCCTGATGCAGCGATGTCGCTTCTTCAAATTCTTCTCAATGCCGATGGGATCACGATGGCACGAGAGAACTTACAAAAGGCAACTCGACAGAAACGCAGCCTATTTCAGGAAACTCATGGAAACTCTGTATAGAAAAAATATGAAAAAATGCAGATCACTTCCGAAGATTCGTGCTTGGCCTCCTTGGCGGTCCTTGTGCTTTGACTGCAAGGCACATCCAGCGGCTGGCATCATATTTGTGGCATACTACGCGATTGCGGTCCTTGTGGTAGTAAATCTTGTCACAGCGCTGGACGCTGAGTTTTTCCATACCGCATGCCATTATGTTTTGATTGATGTTGCTCTTTTGCATTTTTTTACTTACAAATTTTACAAACCATGGGATGTCCCAATCTCGACCTTGTTCGAGGCTCATGATTGAATTCTATCGAGCGAGTTTGGCCGAGAACGTGGAACGGTGTGAAGCCAGGCGGTCTGAGCTCACAAGACAGGTTCAGGCGCATCAAGTTCAGCCCACTTCACAATGTGCTTTTCAAATCCACTACTGAGTGTAGACACGCAGAACAGTTTTTCTTTTGCCAGCTTCCTCTTTACTTTTTTTAAATACAATTTTACACACTTTTGTGGTCAGGATTTGCTTCGAGAGATGGAGGTTGTTGAGAATCTGGGCTTCGAGGTGGCTGGAGGGTCCAAAGAGAGCCTTGCTGGCAACTGGGTGAAGTGCTGTGCGAATAGAGACAATAGAGACAAGAAAAGGCATCAACCATTGCCAAACTCCCAGCTTTCACAGGTTATCATTGTTGCCCAATGGGCCCAATGAAACAATCTAGATCAATCATGATCAATCTAGTAGGCTATGTAGGCTTAGATCAATCTCAGTGTCTTAGTAGGTCTAGCTCGCTGAGGACTGGCATCGAGAAGCTTCGAGAAAGTTTTCTTGGTCGTGGTCAAGACATCGTTGATGAGGAGCTGCTTCGTCAGGCGCCGGAGCTTCGCTAAGACGAGCAGCTGCGCAGCTCACGTTTCGGTCGTTTTCGCTGTTTTGGTCTCATTTCTCTGGCCCTGCATTGGAAGCTTCTCCTTGCTCTCTTGCTCTCCTTGCAAGGTGCAAAAGGAAGCCCCGCTGGATCTTCTGAGGTTGCATCGTTCAAAAAGCGGGAGCTTTGGTTCGGGCAGTAATCCCGCATCTCCTGGAAGGCACTGCACATAGTTTTTGAATGTTCTTGAATGTTCTTGAGTTCCCCAGACAATAAGCGTTCTACAGAGGGCCGATGTAGAGAAACAGATTTGAATGGGATTTGGCAAGTCGATGAATTGGAAGTTGAATCAAATCTGAGAATGGGTCCTCAAAAGTCCTGAGTTGGCCGTTGCGGACGGGAGAACTCCACCTTGACGGGATCCAAAGCGGATCCAAGGACGACTTTGTGCAGCTTTGGCATTGCCACATACCCACAACCGTAGACATTCGCAAAGGATCAAAACCCGCAAAGAGCATACAGAACAAATTGAAATAATGAGCAAAAAAGGATACTTCCTTTCGCTGCTTCTTTGTTTTTTTTTCAATGGCGTGCAGTGAATGTTTGGCACAATGCCGGCAGTGACATAGCATAGCCATGCATAGCCTATTTCTTTGAAATATTTCCAGATATTTGTGCTGTCAGTGAGAAAGCAGCATTGGCAGCAAAGCGCCGATGAAGTCACTGAGTTCATCCACGAGAGATGTTGTACACATTGTGACGTCAATGTCTTGAATTCCCAGGGCATGCCGAAGGTTCTATGCCCTGTGCATTCTAAGAGGTTCGCACCGGTTGATTTGTTTTCAAGTTAAACCATTGAGCCTCTGAATCTTTGGACCCTGCAAAAGTACTGCGGTTCCAGCTTCTACAGCGCTTGCATCGTCCTTGGCGGTTTTTTTTTCTACATTCTACATCATTCTACATCATTCTACATAAAAACAGCACAGCGATTCTTGAGAGTTCACAGTCTGGCTCGATGATGGGATTCCTGCTGGATGCACTGTTCAAACTCGGAAGATTTGAGGTTCAAGTGTCCTTTTTCTTTGGGGTCGCGCAATTGCAAATGCCATAGGACTTTCAGATTTAGCTTCGAACATCGGACTTGCGTGCAGTGTGCTTGGCATGCGCCATGGGACATTTTAGCTTGTTTGCTCCTCAAGTATTTGCTGCCGCAAGTACATGTTTTTGGAAGAAAAAGGGTAGTGACATGAGAAATTGCATTTGCACTTAGACACACATTCGTCTGTTTTGCGAAGCACCTGGGGCCATACACACATGGGTACAAACACATGACGGAAAGGAAGACACACACAGATAGTGAAAGTCCAGGGAGGATTCGGAGAAGTACAACATGTTCTGAGCAATGGCTTCTGTTGCGACTGGTACAGTCAACTCACGGATTCGGAGTGCTCCCTTCCTGGCCAATCAGATCCGATCTCAAAAAAGGGATTTTGCAAGGGAGTTTGGTGTGCAAAGGTTGCAGAGCTTTGTCTTCTCCTTCGGTCCAATTTTAGCTCTGCGAGCACGGCGAGATGCTCAAGGGCGCAAGAACGCTAAACCAAAGCGAGATATGGAAGTGATACAGCGCTGTGCCGGTCGCGTGGCAGTCATTGGCGCTGGGCCAGCAGGCCTGGCTGCGGCGTTGGCATTGAGACGAGATGGTTTGGATGTCAACATCTACGAACGTTCTCCAGAGTTGCGGTTGCCTGACTCAGACTGCGAATTTACTACAAAATTGTAACGCCTACTGGCCTCCGACTGAACCCCGCTTTTCAGTGGCGCAATACTCAGATTCACCCGACATGTTCAAATTCATTTCTATTTGCAACACCTTTGAAGAGAAATATTTTGGCTACAATGCATACGTATGGATTTCCGGGGTTTGAAAAATACCCCCAGTCCTTCACCATTCACAACCATCATGCAATTCTATGTAACGGTAACGAAAACACCGAAACAAAGATCACAGCAAATCAGTTCAAAAATAGTGTCTCTCATTGTCTCCCTCTCTTTCTCTGTGTTCAGTAACTTCTCAAGGTGTGTAAGTGCGGACTGCAGGTCTCCTCCACTCCACTATTTCTAATAGCAGCATTGGTGAGAGTGCAGGTACTTTGGTCGGCTTTCCCTGGCTTTGGGCCATTGGGACAAGTGATCCTACTTTTCTAAGCTGGTCAAGAAGCATTGGGCGCAGTAGCTTTAAGAGTTGTTGGAACGGGCCCTTGAGGGGGGTTACGATTTACATGAAGTTTGCAGCTGCGGCCGTCTTTTTGACTATGCCTAGGCAGTCGTGGAAATTCAATACTTCATGGGCTTCATGACTACTTTCAGTTTGTTGGGATTGGCATGATTAGTGTTTGTCCAAGGCCTGGTATAGGCGGAGGCGTTCAGTTGCATTCTGGTGCTGCGTTGCTTCAAGATCTTGGCGTTGACCTGGGCTTTGCTCAGCCTATGCGTCGAATCAGGCTGTGGTGTTTTGCTGTTTTTGTGTGTCAGCATTTCGTGGTGGCAGAGCGTGACCAGCGCTGTGACATGAAAGCAAGGGGTCGGTAGGTCAAGTTGCGGGTGGCAGCATTTGTATATAACTATTACAGGCGTCACGAGAGCTGGCTTATATCAGCGTAGTGCTCGAGCCAGTTACATTGGGCAGCAATGTGTCAGTGCAGTCCCTGCGGTTGGGTCGGGAATTTGTCACCAGAGGTACAGGAATGTTTTCATGAATTGTGTACAAGGCGGTGTGAGAATCGAGACGGTTGTGCCTGAAGAGCCATTGCTTCCAGACAGACAGACAGACAGACAGAAAGACAGACAGACAGACAGAAAGAAAGACAGGCTCACAAAAGACAAACATGCATCAGGAGCAGGGCTGTGGACGGCTCTGAGCTGCTCAAGCTGGATTTGCCAAGCTTGATGGTGCCCAGTCTGAAGCCATTGCTGAACCCCAACTTCATTTGAAAAAAGCTTTGGTTTTAGGCTGAAAAGCAGTACGCATTAGCATAGGTGGTGATACTTTTGACAACTGAGACTGCTGCAACTCAATTCTGCGCGCGAACTCAGCAGATCTTCGGCTCTGAGGACCGCTTCAAAATGTTTGTGGGTTCCGTGCGTCAGCCAAGCGGCGATCCAGCCAGCTGCACGGCCGCTTGCCCGTTTGTTCTCTCTTGCTGCAAGAGATGTAGTTGCTGGGAGGCACAGGTAAAGCAACATGGAATCTTGTGACAAGTGCCTTTGCGTGTTACTTGCCATTTGTTTCACTTTCCTTTGCATCACTTCGAGCAAGGTGATGCGTGATGCGCTCCTGAGAGCCATTGCTGACCAATTGCCACCCAATTCCCTTTTTCTTGGAAAAGAGCTTGAAGATGTGAAACAAACTTCACACGGCAAAGTGAAACTTGGACGTATACTGTCAGTACATGCGCTGATATGAATACAATCTCTGGTGGCATATGGTATCATTTTAGGCGGTGCAAACCTTGTTAGAACCCTTGTTCAACTTGTCAGGATTTGTCGTTTCGGAGATTCTGAGGAGGACGTGTTTTCGTGCTCTTGTGCAGCAAATCAAATCAGCATGGCATAATTTTTTGGACCAATTTCCTCTTGGAGGAACATGGTCGTAGGCTTGTCAAGCCACCTGCAGCACTAGCACATGACTCTTTCAATGCATAGACTTTTGTGGAGGACTTTGATTTGGTCATAGGTGCTGATGGTATTGGAAGTCTTGTACGTGGAATGGTGCTTCAAGAAGTTGACAAGAAGCCGCGATACACAGGCACCACTACCCTGATTGCAAGAAGACAACTCCTGGAATCGCATATGCACATGATACATTCTTGTGCTGGCCTACCTTCAGAGTGGGAAATCAGAATCTGTTTCTGACTTCACACTGCCTGCTAGGTAGCTGCTAAATTCGATTATTTGAAATTATTTGTATTTATTTGTGAGTTTTGGAGCCGAAGCTGCACACACAGTCGTATACCGTATACACATTCAGAGGCTTGCCTCAACCAACAGTTTCCTCGATTTTCAGCGTCTAGGACTTCGCATTCAATATGGTGTCAGAGAAGCTGGAGCAAGACCAACTGGGTGTGAGGAAGAGGTTCATCAGTGGTTTGGTGAAGGCAGGAGGCTAAGCTAAGCCATCAGAATGTCCACTATGCCAGTGCAGCAACATCATATAAACCAGGTTCGTGCGCCAAGCCGATGATAATAAAGTGAATCTCAGGACACGGAAATTTCCTCCCTGAGCAAGCTGGATGCCAGCAACATTATGAGTACGTTGCAGTTACAGTTGTGCTGCAGAAACATTCCACATGAAGCATCGCAGACATTCATTTTTACTTGTATCATGTGCTTTCTGTAAGCCTTTTTGGGTTGAAAGCCTGCTCTGAACCCTGATGGGAGGTGTTTATGCTCTAACAGCCACCTATGGAGGTCTTGACGGCAAACAATTTGAAATGCTTGCTGTGGTCTTCAGGGATGATTCTCCAGTGGCGGAGAATGCAAACTGGAATCCAGCCGAGGTGAAGGACCAAAGTGTGTCGAGGCATCAGAATGGCATGGTGAAGCGGCAAAGGGTTGATAAAATTGATAAACACTTGCTAAGCAAAATTAAACAAAATCGAATCCGATGTTTTGTATTCTGGCACATGGCAAAGACGCTTTCTCTCAGTGAGTCCCCGTTGTAGCTCAGAAACTTGCATAGGACAGTTGCCTTGAACGACTTCAAGCAGCAGGTCATGTTGAAGAAGTCCTGGAACTGGCTAAGGGCTGCAAGCGCTACTTTGAGCTTGGCGTTTGCGAGAGGCAGGTGCATCCAAGGACGCTTTTAGACTTCACAGATTCTCTTGCTTGTGGTACCCTTGGAACCATCAGATTTGTCTTTCTCATGCATCTTCCCAATGTATGTACAAACAAGTGCATGTAAATATATGGCTACATATGTGTATACAGGTCTGTGTGTATATTTTGTTGCCGATGTACATGTCTATACTATGTTTGTGTAGATTTGTTGTATATACTATACGTAGATACATGTATACTGTATACGTATATATATATATAATATATATATATCTTATAGAGAGCTTGTTCAGAGATCTCTTCAAGAGTCTTGCCAAGAGACCTCTTAAAGGTCTTGTACAGAGATCTTGCCAGGACACCTCTTATGGAGATCTTGCACAGAGACATTGCATAGGAGATCTTGCCAAGAGGTCTCTTACATAAATCTTCTTCCCAAGAGAGCTCTTGTAGAGAGCTTGTACAGAGATTTCATAAAGAGATCTTGTACAGAGACATTGCATAGAGATCCGTTGAGATCTTGCCAAGAGGCCCCTTACAGAGATCTTGCCAAGAGAGCTCTTGTAGACAGCTTCTACAGAGATCTCATAAAGAGATCTTGCCAAGAGACCTCTTGTAGAGATCTTGTACGGAGACACTGCATAGAGATCTGTTGCAGAGATCTTGCCAAGAGGTCCCTTACATAAATCTTGCCAAGAGAGCTCTTATAGAGAGCTTGTACAGAGATCTCATACAGAGATCTTGCCAAGAGACCTCTTATAGGGAGCTTGTGCAGAGATTTTGCCAAGAGACGTCTTTTAGAGATTTGTTTAGACATCTTGCCAAGATGTTTCTTACAGAGATCTTGCCAGAAGACCTCTTATGGAGATCTTGTACAGACCTGGTGAAGAGAGCAGAGATCTTGCTCAGGGATCCTTTATAGAGAGCTTGAACAGAGATCTTACTTTAGGATCCCTTACAGAGATCTTCTGTGGAGATCTCTGATAGACACCTTGTCAGAACCTGTAAAATAGATCTTGCGCACGATCTTCTACAGAGATCTTCACGAAGGGAACTTGCAGAATCTAGCCTGGTATCTCTTCTTCATCTTCTTCCAAAGACCACCTTGAATGAACATCATGCTTTCACCACTAGGGTCGCTCTTGTCCTGCTAGTTTGCAGCCACTGATGATTTTGGGTCCTTTCCACCTTTTCCTTTAGAATCCTAACTACACACTGTTTGGGGTCTCTTGGCGGGATATTTTTTTGGAGCAACCAATTTTTCAAGGCCACCTGTTATTTCAATATTTGTAAGAAAAAACATCCATTTCCAAGACCCCCAAACCACCAACCCAAACCACCACAGAAGCTCACCTTGATGTTATGTTGTGTTGTGTCTTGTGTCTTGTGTGTTATGTTGTGTTATGTATCCCCCTGGCAATTTCCTCTATAAAATAGAGGTACCCGGGTACCCTTATAACCCATTATTTTATCCCTCTATAAAATGTTTTTTTTTTTTTAAATGTTGGGAAATACGAAGCACTTTTTGGTGTTTTTGGCATGTTGCAAGGTCAACCCAGGTCCCCATTTTATAGAGGGACTTTTTGGGGTAACTTTTGGGGGCTCTTTTTGACCCTGGCCCCCATTTTATAGAGACTAATGCTTGGATTGTGTCAACATGAACAACTCGCTAGACTGGCAGCACCACATGGCTCCAAAATGTTCAAAAAGATCAAACATGTTGGCAAGATTTGGCAAGTAAAAAGAGAAACCAATTGAATACAATCGAAACTAATCAAATACATCAAATAAGGATAAGTAAGGCCTTTTTTTTAAGCCGGAATTTTCAAGAACGATAGTATGGGAATGACATGGAATGAGTGTATAAGGGGGACATGCAGAATCAAGAATCATTAAGATACTACAAGAATCTACAAGACAATAATAGATAATACAAGAACATACAAGAACATACAAGATACTACAAGCACATACAAGCACGAACATTGATGTTACATGATGTTACAATATGTTACATGATGTTACAAATTTATATTATACAATCTCTATAAAATGGGTATTTGGGCCTCTACCACCAAGAGCCTCTATAAAATGGGTGCTTTGTGGTAAAATACGAGCTGCTTCCCCATTTTATAGAGGAGGGCTTCCCAGAATCTGGGAAAGTGTTGAGGCTTTGGAGATTTTTGATGATGTTTGATGTTTTTTTTGAGGGGCTTTTGGGTCTGGGATGGCTTAAGGATGTTTGGGGAATCTTAGGAATTCTTAGAATATCTATGGAATTCTATGGATATCTTGGGTTGTGTGGTAAAGCGCCTTCCCTAATTTCCAGCTTTCTAGCTTTCCCATCCCAGGATCTCCCAGGTGCCAATGTGTTTTCCATATTTGTTCCATTTTATAGAGGCAAGCCCTTGCAAAACCGTTCTGCTCCCCATTTAATAGAAGGGCTTCCTAGCTTTCCAATCACAGGTGCCCATGCGTTTCTATTTTATAGAGGCAAGCCCTTGCAAAACCGTTCTGTTCCCCATTTTATAGAAAGGTTACCAGAGGTTTTTTCCCCACCTGCCAGGTGAGGGTTGTTAGATTTTATCAGAGCTGTTCTCCTCCTCCTCCGCCTCCGCCTCCTCCGCCTCCTCACCCGCTGCCTCCTCCTCGCAGTCCAGATCCCAGTGGGCACAGCCGGACCTCCACCGCGAGCTCCAGATCCCAGTGGGCACTGCCGGACCTCAACTGCGAGTTGCAGATCGCAGTGGGCACTGCCGGACCTCCCAGATCGCAGTGGGCACTGCCGGGCCTCAACCGCGACTTCCAGATGGCAGTGGGCACTGCCGGACCTCAACGGGAAGAATGTCAGAAAAGATGTCAGATAGAATGTCAGAAGATATGCCAGACAGAATGTCAGAAGATATGCCAGAAAGAATGTCAGAAGATATGCCAGATAGAATGTCAGAAGATATGCCAGATAAAATGCCAGAAGATTTGCCAGATAGAATGCCAGAAGATATGCCAGAAGATATGCCAGAACATATGCCAGAAGATATGCCAGAGAGAACGCCAGATAGAATGTCAGAAGATATGCCAGATAGAATGTCAGAAGATATGCCAGATAAAATGCCATGAGATATGCCAGATAGAATGCCAGAAGATATGCCAGATAGAATGCCAGAAGATATACCAGATAGAATGCCAGAAGATATGCCAGATAGAATGCCAGAAGGTATGCCAAATAGAATGCCAGATAAAATGTCCGATAGAATGCCACAAAATATGCCAGATAGAATCCCAGAGGATTTGCCAGATAATATGCCAGATAGAATGCCAGAAGATTTGCCACTAGAATGCCAGAAAATATGCCAGAAGATATGCCAGATAGATATGCCAGAAGATATGCCCGAAGATATGCCAGAAGATATGCCAGAAGATTTGCCAGATAGAATGCCAGAAGATATGTCAGAATATATGCCAGAAGATATGCTAGATAGAATGCCAGATAGAATGCCAGAAGATATGTCAGATAGAATGCCAGAAGATTTGCCAGATAGAATGCCAGAAGATATGTCAGAATATATGCCAGAAGATATGCTAGATAGAATGCCAGATAGAATACCAGAAGATATGTCAGATAGAATGTCAGAAGATATGTCAGATAGAATGCCAGAAGATTTGCCAGTAAGAAAATGTATAAATGTCATGGTGGGGATCACACGAAGTAAAGTAATTATCTCTTTAAAACAATATATACAAACAATCTTCAAAATATCCAATGCGTTGGATTGTGTTGCTCGGTTTCACCCGGGACTTGGTGATTTCTCACCTTTGATCACCTCTATAAAATAGAAATTCCAAATCAACAACTCTCTTTTGTGACCGGAGTTTGGCCCCAGCACTTCACACCTGGGACCCTGATCCTCATTTTATAGAAGGTCAAAATGGACCCAGGCAGCCGCATCAGACAGTTAAGTGAGTAACCTGGGTACCCCCATTTTATTGACAGCGCAGACCCCCCTAATTACCTGGGCACCCCCATTTTATAAAGGGCCACCCCCCCAAAACCATTTTATCACTATAAAATGGTGGTACCACCCAGGTTACACACTGAACTCCAAGGGGGATTGTTATGTCATGTATGCATGTATGTGCATACGTACATGTATATGTATATGCTTATGTATTTTGTGTTTGTACATGCATATGCATATGCATATGTCTATGAATATGTGTATGAGTATGAATATGTGTATGTGTGTGTATGTCTTTATGCGTATGCATATGTTTTTGCATTTGTGTGTATATGTATATTTATATTTATATCCATATGTATATGTATATGTAAATTCATGCGTGTTGGTGTAGGTATAGGCGTGGGTATATTCAGAAATCTGAGTCCATTTTCCACTTTCCCGCTGACTACCGATTCGGCGATGGCGCGAGCCAGCTCCCAACTCCAACATATGTACATGCATCTATTCCGTCCTAGGCGTTGATACGAACCAAGGTCGACATAAACTCTTGTGAGTTCCGACAATTTGTTGAAAATACTTCCGCAAGGATGGAGTTGCCTCAATGGCTCTATCAAGACGTGGTCTTTTTTTGAATCCCTTGACAGCAATTGAATATCCCAGTGTCCTCAAAGCTTTAACACTTTCAAGTTGAATCGGTGAATCGATCCCTTCGAACCACCACTGAAGAAAGTTAATCCAAACTCGACTGCCGCGACAAGAAATTTGAGTCCATGGGTCCACATGTTGCAGGGTTCTTCCAAAATGTTGCTAGTCACTGCTACTGTAGTCATCCACAGCAAACGACAGGCCTCTTGGATTCAATCGTTGGCACCGTGGCCGCGTTGTCCTTGTTGGAGATTCTGCGCATGCCATGCCACCATTTCTTGGGCAGGGGGCAAACCAGGGCATCCAAGATGCTGTTTGCCTGGCCGGTGACTTGGCAATGACCATGCAAGGATGTTTGGAAGCTTGCGGATGCGACAGTATTTGTTTGAGTATTGTGAATTGTGACTTGGTGTTGAAGAGGTATTGTATGTAGATGCAATGCAGTAAGTTTACTTCCTGGATGTTCCTGTGCAGGTTTGTGGGGTAGGTTTTGAATTTTGGAGGTTCGAGTGTGGATTCTGGTGCGGGTTCCGGCGTGGGTTTGGGGATGGTTCCGGGCGGGTTCCGGGATGGTTTACGGTGGTTCTGGAGATTTTGGCACAGGTTCTGGGATGGCAGGTGGTTTCTGGAGGTTCCGGTGTGGGTTCCAGTCCAGATGGTTCTGGAGATTTTGGTGCAGGTTTCTGGGGTGTATAGGAATTTAGATGTGGTGGTTTTCTGAATTAAACATGTTCTATGCAAACCTTAGGTTTGCTCACCACCGATCCTGCATCTCCTTTGACATGCTCAAATCCCTGCATAGGGCTAGCGTTTTTCAGCTTTCCAAACAATGCACCCTAAAACCCTGAAACCCTAAATCCTAAGGCCCGAAATCCTGAAACCAAACGTCAGAATTGCTGCGCATAGCCAGTGTTCTCATTATATAATCCTCAGGTGGCAAATGTATGATATTGTTTTGGTGTCATTTGGAGGTGGGCGAACGTAGGATTGGGCGCCAACATGTTTGACTGTTTCACAGGCATTGTTTCAAAATTCTAAATTAATAACAACCCTTGCTGTTGGGGATACCACCTGAGCTTATTTCTGGACTTGCGAGCAGTGAGCTACGTTGCAGGTCAATTGCGCAAAATTGGTCTCGCGAGTCTGGACACGTCTGATTCTGCGAAAATGAGCTCAGCCATTGAATCAGCTCTAGCTGCTTACACGGCAAAGCGCTTGCCGCCAGTTGAAACTTGAATGAATTCAGAAAAGATTCAGACTAAAATCAAAAAAAACATTCAAGCTTGGTGGGCCAAGTCATGCGCCGGGAAGATCACCACGGGGATCTGTCTGTCCTTGCATGCCACAAGCGCTTCCATGCGCCAAGTGAGCAGAAATCAAATCTTTGTTGATCATACTACCAGTTTTAGGAAGGATTACCAGGATTACTGTAAACTATGTCGCATTATGAGAACCCCTATCAACTAAGCAGTATAAAGAGTTGTAGGTGATTTTATGTCAATGCGTTATACGTTAGATATGGATATATATATATTGAATATCCTTCCAGGACATTCAGAGTGACATGTTTTCAAACTTTTCACTTCTGTGCTTGAGGCCTTGCTTGGGCTGGAGAGTGGCTTTCTGGGCCAAGTCGAGAAATTCAGCTGCACAACATGTCCTTACCCGTACCCAACAGATGTCCAGATTCAGATGGCATACTTCCAATACTTCCATGTCTCCATGACAATTGCTCAATGCACGAGGAACTTGCAAGGGACCCGCAAGGGACTCACAAGGGACTCACGAGGAACTCCCAAAAGAAACTCCCAGGGACTCACATGGGACTCACAAGGGACAACAATGGAATATATACAGATTCCTGAAACGGAAAGCTTCTACGAGTGAAGAGAACATGGAGTCTCCCTAGTTGGTCCTAGAGAGGTCAAGCCGGGGCTACTTCTGCCCAAGATATCAAACACACGTCAAACTCCCTGGAGCCTGGTGGTGGTGCTGCTGAAGAAAACCTGAGCAGTCGCACTTCAATGAGTCGCCACTTTATGATTCTTCATTTTTCTGTTATAAATCATTTGGTAATCAGTTTTTGGCATGGAATGCTGAGAGCATGACAAATCGCAAGAATGCAATGTTGGGTTTGCTCGGAAGAGACATTCTTTGATATGTAGGCGTACAAGGCTCTCAAATCTGCCCTATCCTACGTACTTGCCCTTCAACTGTCTTGTAGGATTGGGACGGTGCATGTTGTTTTGGCCTGCGATATTTACTCATTCGTGCACATATGCACGCAAGCACGCATGCCTGCATGCGAGCACACAATGCAGCAAATTCGCTCTAGTGGCGGGAGACACACACGCTGTGTATATTACATGTACACATTCACACGGGGCAAAGAACAACCGAACATTGCAACCATCAGTCATGCCGTCTCATGATTGCATGCTGGTTCCCCAATGGCTGATGCTGAGGACTTTGCCTGGACCTGGAGGGGCCCTTGTGAGAGACAACTTTTTCAGATTGACTGGAGGAAGTGGAGTTGCAGGCGATTTGACATGTTGCTCAGTGATGTAATACTGCTAAAGTTGAGCTGTCAGCGATTTCTGGTTGGCCTTCAATCTTGCTATTGTGCAGGCTTGGTTTTCCTCAACGGTGCTATTGCACGCGTTTGAAAGTGGCAGTTCACGCAAAATGTCTGACAGAATGCTTTTTGATGTTTCGTGTGCAGCAGGCCCAGTCAGAGAAAGGCTGCTGTAGTTGTGCATTATTAATATTACATATCGGTGGGACGGACATGCAATGCTCAGTCAGCCACATGTCGCCATTGGTTTTGATTTTGAATGGCTTACGGTTGAGTCAAAGATCAAGCTAGCTGAAATTGAGGCCACACCATATATGATGAACCTTCTACATATAATACGTCGCCCCGGAGTAAATGCAGACGCGTGTACCCCGACTCAATCTAGGCGGAACATGTCTCCCGCTCCTGCAGTAAAGAACAACACTTGTCGTTTCATATATAGAGCACTGAAAGTTCAACAGTTTCCACTCTCACTTGACAGAATTTGGTTTAGAATCGTCGCATTACATGCCAGCCTGCAATGGCTTGCCCAAGCTTTACTGGCAACTGCCGGGCAGGCTTCTGCAAAGAGTCGGCTTTGGCTTTTGTTGTTTATGATGCCATATGATGACATGTGATGCCATATGATGACATGTAAGTCGTTGCTGTTTGCGATCGGCAAGTTTCTTCTTTCAGGTGGGCAGCCTGCGCATACATTGTTTGCAAGGTTAGCAAGGACAGGTCAGTGCCCCAGTGGCGCAGCTTCAAGCACACTCGAAAGGTATTGCGGCTGGTCCACAAATTAGTCAACGAGAAAAGTCATTCTTTGATATGCTGTGGCATCGTAAAGCTGCCGAAATTTGTTGCATGAGATCTAGTGGCAATCAAACATTGCCAGCCACTCGCATACATGCAGGTTTCTTTACCTCCTTCGGACCTCGCAAGCCGTCAGGAAAGCATGGAGGTCTGGGTTATGTGCATTCCTTTAGGCGGAAAGAATGTGAAAATTGCATTTGTCATCAGACCCGATCAGCAAGGAAGAGAAGCACCAGCACCGGCACCAGCGCCAGCCCCATCACCACCGTTTACATTCTGATCATGATCACGACCATGATCATGATCAGTGATCATGATCATCATCATCATCATGATCACGATGTTCATGATCATGGGCATCATCATCATCATCAGCAGCAGCAGCATCATCACCACCATCACCGTCGTCACCATCATAGCCGTGGTAGTTGTCGCCAACCTAGGCACGAAAATTGATGACAGGGAAAGAAAAGGCATTCAGACACAAAAGAAGAACAAAAATGAACAAAATATATCCATAGCCAAACCAACCAGCACGCAGTCACACAACAGCAATTGTATGTTGCCGTGGTGGAATAGAATTTGCATCAAATCAGTTTCTTTTTGATCAACTAAGTGACAGCACGCAGCAAGAGTCGGTAAGAACTTGGAACTACAACGGTGCAGCGATGATGCCGCGCTGCGTGAGATGGTGGTGGTACACAAAAACAATCAACTAAATTAAGGCTACACAGTATTGTAGATATAGATGAATGTAGAACATGTCAAATTATATTGTTACACACGCAAATATATATATAGGTATATATATATATATTTACATATATATATATATTTACATACACACATGAATGTATACATACATATCAAAAATGTAGCAATGTGGATATATGCATGTATGTATGTATGGATGGATGTATGTATGGATGGATGGATGGATGGATGGAATGTGTGTATGTATGTAATGTAATGTAATGTAATGTAATGTAGTGTAGTGTAGTGTAGTGTAGTGTAGTGTAGGTATGTATGTATGTATGTCTGTGTGTGTATGTATGTATGTATGTATGTATGTATGTATGTATGTATGTAATATAATGTAATGTAATGGTATGTAATGGTATGTATTGGTATGTAATGGTATGTATGTAGTGGTATGTATGTAATGGTATGTATGTAATGGTATGTATGTAATGGTATGTATGTAATGGTATGTATGTAATGGTATGTATGTAATGGTATGTATGTAATGGTATGTATGTAATGGTTGTATGTAGTGGTGTAACAAATGGTATGTATGTAACGCGTATGATGTAATGTATTGTCGTAATTGGTATGTATGTAATGGTATGTATAAATTGGTGTGTGTATTAATGGTTATGTATTGTAATGTGCATTGTAATGGTAGTATTAATGTTTAACAATGTATGTATGTCAAACAGTATGTATGTAATGGTATGTATGTAATGGTATGTATGTAATGGTTGTAACAATGGTATGTATGTAACGGTATGTATGTAATGGTATGTATGTAATGGTATGTATGTAATGGTATGTATGTAATGGTATGTATGTAATGGTATGTATGTAATGGTATGTATGTAATGGTATGTATGTAATGGTATGTATGTAATGGTATGTATGTAATGGGATGTATGTAATGGTATGTATGTAATGGTATGTATGTAATGGTATGTATGTAATGGTATGTATGTAATGGTATGTATGTAATGGTATGTATGTAATGGTATGTATGTACTGATATGTATGTAATGGTATGTACGTAATGGTATGTATGTAATGGTATGTATGTATTGGTATGTATGTAGTGGTATGTATGTATTGGTATGTATGTATTGGTGTGTATGTATTGGTATGTATGTATTGGTATGTATGTATTGGTATGTATTGGTATGTATTGCTATGTATTGGTATGTACTGGGATGTATTGGGATGTATTTGTATGTATATATGTATGTATGTAATGTCATGTCATGTCATGTCATGTATATAATGTAATGTAATGTGATGTGATGTGATGTAATGTAATGTAAAGTAAATGTATGTATGTATGTATGTATGTATGGTAATGTAATGTAATGCAATGCAATGGAATGCAATGCAAGGTAATGTAATGTTATGTTTTGTTATATATATTATGTTATGTTATGTTATGTTATGTTATGTATGTATGTATGTATGTATGTGTGTGTGTATGTATGTATGTATGTCTGTCTCTCTGTCTGTCTGTCTGTAAGTATGTATGGTATGGTATGGTATGGTATGGTATGTATGTATGTATGTATGTTGGTTGTGTAATGTAATGTAAATGATGTGATGTGATGTAATGTAATGTAAACTTATCTTATCTTACCTAATCTAATCTTATCTTACCTAATCTTATCTTATCTTATGTTATGTTATGAAATGTTATGTTATGTTATGTTATGTTATGGTATGTATGTATGTATGTATGTATGTATGTATGTATTTACGTATGTATGTAATGTATGTGATGTATGTAATGTATGTCATGTATGTACGTAATGTATGTAATGTATGTAATGTATGTAATGTATGTAATATGTAGTGGTATGTATGTAATGGTATGTATGTAATGGTATGTATGTAATGGTATGTATGTAATGGTATGTATGTAATGGTATGTATGTAATGGTATGTATGTAATGGTATGTATGTAGTGGTTGTAACAATGGTATGTATGTAACGGTATGTATGTAATGGTATGTCTGTAATGGTATGTATGTAATGGTATGTATGTAATGGTGTGTATGTAATGGTATGTATGTAATGGTATGTATGTAATGGTATGTATGTAATGGTTGTAACAATGGTATGTATGTAACGGTATGTATGTAATGGTATGTATGTAATGGTATGTATGTAATGGTATGTATGTAATGGTATGTATGTAATGGTATGTATGTAATGGTATGTATGTAATGGTTGTAACAATGGTATGTATGTAACGGTATGTATGTAATGGTATGTATGTAATGGTATGTATGTAATGGTATGTATGTAATGGTATGTATGTAATGGTATGTATGTACTGATATGTATGTAATGGTATGTACGTAATGGTATGTATGTAATGGTATGTATGTATTGGTATGTATGTAGTGGTATGTATGTATTGGTATGTATGTATTGGTGTGTATGTATTGGTATGTATGTATTGGTATGTATGTATTGGTATGTATTGGTATGTATTGCTATGTATTGGTATGTACTGGGATGTATTGGGATGTATTTGTATGTATATATGTATGTATGTAATGTCATGTCATGTCATGTCATGTATATAATGTAATGTAATGTGATGTGATGTGATGTAATGTAATGTAAAGTAAATGTATGTATGTATGTATGTATGTATGGTAATGTAATGTAATGCAATGCAATGGAATGCAATGCAAGGTAATGTAATGTTATGTTTTGTTATATATATTATGTTATGTTATGTTATGTTATGTTATGTATGTATGTATGTATGTATGTGTGTGTGTATGTATGTATGTATGTCTGTCTCTCTGTCTGTCTGTCTGTAAGTATGTATGGTATGGTATGGTATGGTATGGTATGTATGTATGTATGTATGTTGGTTGTGTAATGTAATGTAAATGATGTGATGTGATGTAATGTAATGTAAACTTATCTTATCTTACCTAATCTAATCTTATCTTACCTAATCTTATCTTATCTTATGTTATGTTATGAAATGTTATGTTATGTTATGTTATGTTATGGTATGTATGTATGTATGTATGTATGTATGTATGTATTTACGTATGTATGTAATGTATGTGATGTATGTAATGTATGTCATGTATGTACGTAATGTATGTAATGTATGTAATGTATGTAATGTATGTAATGTATGTAATGCATGTAATGTATGTAATGTATGTAATGTATGTAATGTATGTAATGTATGTAGTGTATGTAAAGTATGTAAAGTATGTAAAGTATGTAAAGTATGTAATGTATGTAATGTATGTAATGTATGTAATGTATGTAATGTATGTAATGTATGTAATGTATGTAATGTATGTAATGTATGTAATGTATGTAATGTATGTAATGTATGTAATGTATGTAATGTATGTATGCAATGTATGTAATGTAATGTATGTAATGTATGTAATGTAATGTAATGTAATGTAATGTATGGAAAGTATGTAATGTATGTATGTAATGTATGTAATGCATGTGATGTATGTAATGTATGTAATGTATGTAATGTATGTAATGTAATGTTATGTTATGTTATAGTATGTTATGGTATGGTATG